GCCCCTCTGACAGCTCCCTCAGCACTCTTGGGTGGATCCCATCCGGCCCCATAGACTTGTGAGTGTCCAGGTGGTGCAGCAGGTTGTTAGCTGCTTCCTCCAGGATTATGAGGGGTTTATTTAAGTATTGAAAGCCTACAATAAGGTGTCCCCAGAGCCTTCTCCAGGCTGAACAAGCCCAACTCTCTTAGCCTTTCCTTACAGGAGGTATATTGCATAATCCACACTTTGCCTCACTATTGATCTATGAAATGGAGATTCTATTTCAAGGGATAAAAACAGTCCACAAACATGAGATGCCACTGTGATGCTATGGAGGTGGGGGCATGTATGCGCTCTTATACAGCTGGTGTTGATATCTGAAATATTTGGCATAAAAAGACCTGTGTTCAAAAGTGAATTGAGAAATTCAAGCAAGAAAAATCACCTGATGGCTACTAAAGCCTCCTGATGGCTTCTCAGCGCCAGCTCTACAATCATACATCACAGAGCTGGAGAGTGGGAGAGTATTTGGGAAGTACGTGCTTGCCTTGTTCCTAAAGTCTTCTCTAGACATCTACTAGCCATTGCCAGAGACAGGATATGGCTTGAGCTGCACCTTTTTCTGACCTGGTATGGCTGTTCTTAAGGCCAAAGATGAGGACAGTTCTTGTACTGCATCTAAAAATAAATGAATCATGTAGTACAAAAAAAAAAAAAAAACCAACCCACACCTGAAATGAATAATTACTCCTTGGACAAAAATGAACCTGAACATTGCAGCATAACTAATTCATATTGGATTTATTTCAAGAAATTAGCAGAAGGGTAAGCCCAGATGGGTCCAATCTTTCATTCCTTCCTCCCCTCCTATTCTACTTCCTTCTCTCCCCCATGCCCACCCCAAACTGAACTTTGTATCAGTTGTGCTATATTGCTTTGGGTGGTGAAACTTAATGGGAGCAGATTACACTGCTATACGTCCTTCTCTCCTTGTGCTCTCCCCACTCATCTCTTCACTAAGACAGCACGTGTTCATATTTTAAGACACATCATTAGCCCCAAGGAACTGTTCTCAGACTGTTCTCATAGCCTGTCACAAGCTTACAAGTCTAATTTCGGCATCGTTCAGTAGTTTGCACATCTCTAGCTGTGCAATTCTTCCTGGCTGTCTCCAGCAGCTTGCAAGCCTTTGCTTAATCAGACCTCCCCTCCCAGCAGCTCTCATTGCTCCATTACCAGTGGAGTTGTAGGAATAGCTGCTCAGGCAGGCTAAACACACAGTGTGGAAAGGAGAGGAGGGGGAAAACAATCACATTTTTTCTTTAAACTGTAGTTGAGATATTGGATTCTTACCTTGACTGAACCTGTATTGGAAGTACTTTCTGTCTCACCAGGTCAGAGATCTTTGGCTCTCTGCAGGCTAGAAAAAGTATAATGTTGCACAGTACTTTTCCACATTCACAGCTCAAGTGCTATGGTTCATACACATTTCCCCTCTTTCCTCTCACTAGCTATAGTGGACTGGATTAAGAAAAGAGGCAGTAAGTTATGTGCATTAAAATAAAGATAGGCACTAAAACCTAAAGCCTTGGAAAAATACTTTCCCACAGATCACCAGATCGATCCCATTTACTACGGTAGAAGCAACTGAGTGTCTTCTGCACTGGCATTTTCTGCCATGGAGGAAGATTTGTCCATCAGTGTGTCTGAATGCCAAAGTTACACCACTACAGCTGATGGTTTGGAATCTAAGTAAACTTCTGCGGTAATGGAATTATATAAAAAATACTTAATTTCCATCTGTGTAGCTACACACAGCTAATCCCAGTCACTCGGCATACAGAGAAAGGCTGCAATATGTTACAGACTTCTAAGACTCTGTTTGCTTGTGGACCCGTTGGAAGGAGCTGAAGGCTCTGATTCAAAGGAACACCTCAGAGTTACCTGAATATGGACAAAATAACAGAAGGGAGATCCAGGATTTCTAATTTTTCATATTCCGCTTATTTACTTTCAGAGCAGCATAAAATATTCAGGTTTATCAGTTCAAATAACTCTGCCAGGATCTCCTTCCTTGCTGCACACAGTAGAAGAAAAGGAGTCTTGCAGGATGGATTTTATCTGTATGCCTGAGCACTTGTGTTCTGAGGGATTTAACAATATCTAGTTCTTTGCGATTACTGTATATGTTAGCCTTTATGTCACTATCAAAGTTAACATCAGTAAAGATGCTTTCCACAAATTACTATCAACAAAGATGCTTTCCACAGATGATTATAAGCTCCAGGGAGAGAGTATTTTCACCTAAAATAACAGAATAAGGCAAATTCCCCAGGGGACATATTTCCTTATATTACCATTACTTCAGTTAAAAAAAAAATCCATTAAAATACATGTCAAACAATTGCTTTGGGAAAATGAATTTGGCAGTTCCCTAGCCCAAATTCATTCATCCATTCAGGGTTTCAGACATGCTTAGAGTAGCTGCAGATCAACAGTATAATTCCCCTTCTAGCAAAGTATTTGAAGATGTGTTTCAGTGTTTTGATGAATACAGATAGTTTAAGCATATCCTCGAGTGGTTTTCTGAACCAAACATTCAAGGCTGCAATCTACAGGCTTAGTCTTTTACACTCATGACCGGTCCCGTTGACCTGAAAGGACTGTGAAATGAGAGCTCAGATGAGACAATTACTTCTTTCTATTTCAGTTCCTTCCTTATCTTCTTTGATTTTGATCTTACAAAGTTTTGATCCTAGAATGAGGGTAGTAAGGGTCTCAGGGAACATTCCTTTCCATGTTTAAAGATGGAAATGTCTTCTGAAATCACTGGCAGTTTCTCTGGTGGAGTTTAGCAGCCAGTAGAGCTGGCAAACTACCAATCTCAGTATCAGGTGTCAGTCAGATGGTTTATTCTTAGCAAAAATGATTGTTTGGCGAATGTAAATTATAAAAACAAACTCCAATAAAACCATAGCAGCTTTTGTGAATCGTGGTAAAAAACATTGTAAACTACCTTTTATGCAGATTGGCTGCTTCCCTGACCATTCTCCATTGTCTTGGCAGGTCCGCTGTTCATTCCCACTAAGAACATATGAGTTGTTACAAAAGAAAGCAATGACTGTGCCAATTTTTGCATAGCGTCCATCCAAAAGCCCAGTGTCTTCTACTACTCTTCTGTAGCCATTGAGTGGGCCACCAGGATCTGAGCAGTTTTTTTCATCTAGAACTAATGATAGGGGGGAAAAAATAATAACCATTTAATCAAGTTCACAGCATTATTTTCACCCATCAGATTGCTTGGCATTTCATTCAGATGTAACTACACAATCTACACTTCATTAAAGATGCCTTTTCAAGACTCATCTGGGATCTCTGTCTTGTAAATATTATATATTAAAGAAGACATTATAATATACAGATGTCTGTTTATAATACACATTTTAGTCTTCACGGAAAGCGTAAGGTTCTGAAATTGTTAAAAAGACCTTAAAACATAGCTGGCAACCCTGAAAAATAACCTTGACTTTACATTATGTTAATGTCCCATTAACATTAACAGGGCTACTTCAAGAGCATAAAAGGATGCACTTAAACTATTTCCAAGAAACAGGCCCTTGGTGTTCTTTTCCCTTTTCTGTGCTTTCAGTACTTCACTGGACTTTGATAATAAAATTAGACTACTTAATTTTACTTTTGTGTTTGGTTGCATTTTGGTTTCTCAGCACTGAGAGAGGTATTTCAATAATCCATGGAAATACTGGAGTTGAAAGAGAACATATACACACACTGATACTAAAACTTTAATATGGAAAGCTTACTCATGCTAGGTTCTGCCTATAAAACCTCTTTTTCTTCCTCCTTCCCAGTATTTTCCCCTTCTTTTTATTTGTTGTTGTGGTTTTTTCTCTCAATAAACTTAAATTTTTTGGCCTAAATCTGGATGACAGTCTTCCCTATGTGATGCTAATAAATGCTCTTCCCTGTATTTTTCACTTCTCTGCTCTTTCTAATTTAGCAGCTGAAAAGGTACTTTTCTTCCTTTGTGTTTCATCCCAGTTTTCTTGTCAGGCTGACAGTAACATGCAATTCTGTTTAATTCCTCTGTCTCATGTCTCATTGCATGATAACCAGTGAATATCTAGTTTAGACAGCTAGTGTTGGCGCTGATGTGCTTATGGAGGGCTAAGGAGACTGAGACATATCAACTGACCAGAAATGACCTTTTCACATCACTGCTTCAGACTCAGCTGCCTTCTGAGCCTCACTTCACGTATAACAAAGCACAACAACATATAACCAACATATGACAAAGCACTTAAACATTTATTTAAATCCCTGTGAAGTCAGCACAGTAACAATGCATAGGTATGGCCCTGTCCTGTTCCCGTATCCTCATGTCACCAGAGAAAGCCCAGCGCAGCAAACCATGTAAGCGCTTAGCTAACTGTAACAGTGCAAGTTCAATGAAGAGCATATGCTCTTAACATTGAGTATGTAATTCAAGCTAAGCATCTATTTCAGTGGTTTCTTTAACAATGTTGGATTTTAGCATATGCTGAAGTTTATATATGTACTTAAATACTTTTCCACATCAGTCATATTCAGTAAACAAAGAGGACGTCTGAACTTCCTCTCAACCAGGAGAAAGGGAGAAGCAGACCCCTGTCTCATTTTAATTTGGCTCCACTTTAATTCTCTGTACCTCACGGGCTCTCTCACTTGTGAACCACAAGTGACTGGTGATAGCAGCTAAAGACTACAGCGAATCACACACAGTATAATGCTTCATTTGCAAGTTGCTTTCTGCACTGGTATCTAGCCTAAAGGCATCATCTGATGAGTGGAGTGCATGTTTCCAAATGTATCTAAACTTGGCCAAGTAAGTCGATGAAGGCCTTCTCTTATTTCAGCCTATGCCTATCAGTAACTTGAACAGTAATTCTCTTCTTCCCTAAGCTCAGGTCTATGGCTTTTTTTTTTACAGATTAAAACCAAAGAGAAAACATCTGGGAAGGAGAGACCCAAATTAGACCACCTAGCACATCAGAAACAGCCAGCCAAGTCTGGAGGCAGATCTTTCAATAGATCTTTAGTGAGGGATGTCATACAGCAGGGACTTTAGCACAATCCTGATATTACATTTACTGCAACTAGATAGAAGAATGCCTGTTGCTTGCTTATTCAGATGAACTTATATACAGCTATTTCACAACACTACCCCCCAGATTTTCATTGTTTGTCACAACACACTTGTAAAAGCACTTTTCCAATTGATACAAATTATTCTGGAATGTGGAAATAAAATTGTGCAACACAAAACAACTGAAGGAAAATTAAAAGTCTCTTTGGATGAGAAGAAAGGGCTTGGAATTTCACAGCTGAATCAATGTGAATGGTAGGCATGCCAACTTGCACAGCCAGAATGAATGGAAGCTTCTCTTCTATCAGTTTTTCTCTAGGATGGGAATTCTGTTGAAATAAGAGTCTAGTCTTCATGCAGTAAGCCCCTAATCACCTCCACAGAGTGCACCAGACTTCTGCAGAGAAGATATCAGAGGTACAGAGTAATGGAAGTAGCTGTTCATTGTTGCACAATGTCCCTCACTTGGTTTTGTTCCTAGACATTTTCAGTCTGTGTGTAAGAAGGATGTATGCCTAAAGTCTTTGAGGAAATTATTTTTCAGTCATCTGATGTTTCACTCAGACCTTTATATAAGCAAGTCTTGCAGGCTTGGGCTCCAGCAGAGTAAATTAAGAATCCCTATTGTTTCTTAAAGACAGGAAGACAAAAGAACATCGTGTTAAGCCACAGATCCACCAAATTTCAAGTGAGATTTGGACATTCTAGTTTCAAGTGAATACATTGGCCAAAACATTTGATAAGAATCAAAACTTAAAGTGACCTTACCACATTCAGGATGATGTGCTGACCAAATCCCATCAAGCTGACAGTAGGCAACACGGCTGCCTTTTAAGCTGTAACCTGCGTTGCACTTGAAGTAAACCTGGGCCCCGTATTTAAAGTCATCTCCTTCCACAATACCATGAGCGGGAGCACCTGGAGTCCTACACATCACCACTGACAGTTCAGATATTTCAAAAAAATCCACTTTATTACAAAAACAGGACTGTGTTAGGATGATTTTTTTATTTAGAACATTGAAAACCCAATTAAAATGGTCGCAGGAGTCAAAATTACAAGACAGGTATATGCCGATCTTTATAAAGTTGTTTAGACGTCAGTTCTACACACACTTACATATACGTCACTTTTCAAAACATATCTATATCCATTCAGTTCAATGGGATTACTCAGAACTGTGATCATGTGTATAAGCGTTTGTATCATTAGGGCTCATTTGCTCAAAATATTAATACTTGAAGCACTTTCCATCTTAACAGGGGTTTGGAACGAATTACCATGCTTGGATAAGAAAAAATTTTGATCCCTAAAGCCTTATACTTAAATTCTTTCAAATTCTTCTTTCCATTTCTATATAGTTTTCCAGATAACGTCACTGAAATATTAAAGCATCATTATTTGTGTAGATCAAACATTATAATAATGACATTAAAAAGGAATCTTGATATTTACCCTTTCCACAGGGTTTGATCTATTGGGAAAATACTTACAGACAATGGTCTATTTAACTATTGCAAGTAGTAAATATTAGATTAAACATCGTAAGCAAGATTTCTCTGAGAGCATCAAACCAGCCGTATTAAAGCAGAACAAAGGTCTGTCCAGCACAGGCACCTGTCTTCAATGGTGGTAAACAGTAGATTTGATGGAAGGAATATGAAAACAGAGCAAGCATATAAATACTTTCCTGGCACGTTCTGGCAGCATTCAGCAATCTGGGGCTCAAGGACTACCTAAATTACAATGGTATTTTTGGTATAACATACCCTGGTGACTTTTTGTTTTAACATGAATGTGTCTGAGTATTTTCTAAACTCAGCTACATACTTGGTGTCCACAATATCCTGTGGCAATGAGTTCTACAGACTAAGCGTTGTGTGAAAAATACACTGCCTTCTTTGGTTTGGTTTATAGCCTGCCACCTGATAATTTAATTTGCTGCTCTACTTTCTCTGTAGATAGATAGAGATAGAGAACGTCCATGCCCTATTCACCTTCTCCAAGTCACTTTTTAAGACCAATTTTCTGTATGTAGAAATTATATGTATGTGTTTCTGTATGTAGAAATTACAGCAATGTAGGAAACACAGGCTTTAGTATCTACACAGTTATCCATCTCTCTGTGTGTCTCTGGCTTTGCGTGGCCATTCATTGTGCAAAATTGCATAGGAAATGATTAAGTGCAAGATTTAGATATGTGTACATTTTTTTTTACCTGGAAGCTGTGGTACTCCACTGAAGATAGATAGATGAATGCTAAGAGCTCATCCCTACTTTGTGCTTTTAGAATATGACTTTTTCTGTTTTGCCTCGTAGCTAGTTGCTTACTAACCTACAGCCAAATTTTGATCCTTACCCTTGCAGAGGAAAAACTTTTCTAAGGTGTCAGGCCTGTAATCCTTACATGGAACACACATGAATGCATCTATTTATATGGATTGTGGACCATCCAATTATATTCACATAAGGAAGAGATTCTTGAGCAACAGTCCTAAAGCAGCAGCGTTCACAAGAACAAGGCTCCACAGAAATTCCCCTCATTGTATGGATTACTACAAACATCAAACAATGAGTCAGCAGAATCATTTGTACACTAGTAAGCACAAGTCTTTGAAAGAAAAACTGCCCAAAATTTAAGCATTAGAGAAGGGCCCAGACTCACAGCTCCAAATCAAAGCACATCCAGTTAGGGGAGCTTGACATTTCCTCTTGGCTGCAAGTGTTCTGCATCAATATCATCATTAGCGAAAGAATAATTATAAAAATTCAACAAAATTAATTATTAGCCCTTGATGTTTCTCACGTGAAATATAGGCACACATACATATACATGCATATACAGGTGCATATGTGTATACACAAGCACATATATAAATGGAAGGGAAATAATGGGAGCATAGATTTTCTAGGTGTTTTAAATTCTCAGAACACTTGTCTTCCCAGTCATGATCTTTGTATTCCCAGTCACTCCCTCCATATCTTTCTCTGAACAGCAATTAATTTCACTACATTTATATTTCTCTCTTTCAATGTAGTCATGCTCAGCTTGTCAAATGAGAAAAGAAGATGATTAGAAACATCTG